ATAGGCGTTCTGTGGGTAAGAAAGTGCAAATCTCAATACTTTTTGTCCAAGATTGTAACGTATGAAGTGCATATATTGCCGCTAAATAATTAGGTAGTCCCAGTTTGCAAGGAAATGTTTCCTCTATTCAATAAAGTATGTTTGCCAGCGAACATAATCTCGCATGGTCCAGTTCATGCAATATGCAAGAGAAATCACTCTAATGAAAATGATATTGTTAAGAGGCGTGAGGAAGAAAGTTAATTAGGGACAGACCAATAGGAAAGTGGCATGAATTTTTTTCGTAAGCATTTTCTTTGTACCTGCTTTTATTCATTTAGCTTTCCCTTGCACGAATATTATATTTTCGTACCTCACTTCCCACCTCCCCCATTAAGGTTTTCATGGTCCGCGCGTGGCCCCTTGCCGTCCCTATAAAGACTCGTTTTTTTTTTTTAATGTCAACCTTAATGACATGTTTCTCCAGGCGAAATTTTTAAGGATCAAATTTACTGGCAAGTTTCCCACTCACCTCCACCTTCCGTGCATGGGACGATTGGCAAGCTGCAGAAATGAAATCCTCGAACTCCCCGGCAGAATCTCGTCGTCTCCTTAATTTTGTTCCGTCGATAAGACCGTCGTTTCTTTCTGTTGTATTAGTTTTCGTTTGCGGATGTCTTTGGGTGAAGAATGAAACAACAAACGAACGACTAATAGCGCTGGAATCTCGCGTTAACCTTTTCCCCTGCGTTCAGAGTGTCTCGACTGAAAATACTGACAGGATATCTCTTTCACCAACAAAAGGTACAGCAAGAGATCTTTATAAGAAGGTTCAGACACATGTATCCGAAAGGATCGGTTATACATCAGGTAAAATCTTCAATTCAGATGTTATTTAGATGCAGATACATGTTTAGAACTGATTTTATCCTCTTTTGATTTAGGCATATAATCTTTCATGGTGTAAGTTTGCGCTTACATACAGGATCTTTGGATAGTTCCATAAGATAATTGAATTTTTGACTTCATCTAACACTGTATAAACCCTTTTGCAACCCTCTCGCTCTGTTGTTATTACTGCTTAGATATTCACTAAGCCACCTATACTGGTAAAACAATAAAGAAATTTACGGTGTAAATAATCGATGTTGAATAGTGTCGAACGACTTGCTCACGTACAAGATATGTGGTCAATACCCGGGGGAGGGTACTCCTTTATATAAGCCATATAACAGGAGCACACAAAGGGTGTATAGTTCTTGGCTCTTTTGGTCTGAAAACGGTTATAAACGTAGACCATTTTGGTCTGGAATTAGGTTTTGTTTTCGAGGAACCCACTGGAGCGTATGCATGAATGTAGTTATCGTTTCAGTTCCACATGAATAAGAACGAAATAGAAATATGTGAATTCGAAATGCATTTGAAGAATTTTTTTGTTTGCGCTCTAATCTAAGTAATGATGACACAGTTTCTTTCTAAGGGCCAGGTCTGAAAACAGGTATAGACTGAGGTCTGCATGGTCTGAGAACGGGTCGGGAAAATTGATCTGAAATAGCACTGTCTGAATAAAATTGTTAGGGTGGCGTAAAATTTGAGATATTTTTGAAAGGTTAGCCCCTAGAGGAGTTCAGTTAAGGAAGTCTTAGGGCTTGCCGGGTTACTTGATAAAACCTTTGGTAACTTTGATAGGGTGGCAAGATTGAAAGTACGTTTATTGAACGGTCTCGGTCGGTTTGAAACCCGGGGGGGGAGGGCACTTATTCACTACAATGGGGTCGCATTTTCAATAGAGTTGCTAGAATGGGGTCGCACATTTTCCGATTTTTTGTGGTAAGACAGTTCTTCTTATTTACGATTAGCAAACGTACCAGAATGTTTGTACTGTGGGTGAAAAGTAAAGTGTTCTTCATACAGTTTAAAAAATGGGTCAATTCATTAAAAATAAAAAGTGACTAAGGTGGGATCGCCAAAATTACATATTTGCCCAAAAGTGACCAAGATAGGGTCTATAATTGGTCACAGAATAGACTATAATGGGGTAGGGGCTCTTAGACGCCAGCGTCACATACCCAGCAAAAATTTACCCAAGTACCCTTCCCCCCGGGATTGAAATGTGTGCGTAGGTCTAGAAATCTAGAATGTCAGCTTGGCTTTCCCTTGGAAGCAACAAGGGAAGAGGCGTGAGGACAAATTGAAAAGTTGTTAACCTTGTTGTTGAACGCAACTTCCAAAACGTTGTTAATTTTATGATAGAAATGTCAGCCTTATCATTCATTCCGTTGATTTGTTCGTCATATTTTCTCCCTTATTTATTTTTAATATAATCATTGGATATTACTTTACTGCAGTCAGCCCGTTATGATTAGAGGCATCAGCAACCATCCGCTTAAGGAAGCGAAGAAACGTTTTGAACGACACTTCAACCGGCATCACCATACATGAAGTAAGAAAAGAAATCAGCAAACAGTTTGAAGAACTTATGCCCACCAAGTACTGTAAGTCAACTGAGAAAGTCTGTCCCGCAGGTCCCCCCGGATATCCTGGTCCCACTGGACCGAGGGGACCACGTGGCAGGAGGGGACCAAAAGGAAAGAAAGGTCCTCAGGTCCCATGGGACCTCCTGGAAAATCCGGAAAAACAGGAATAACTGGTCCTGCAGGACCGAGAGGAGAAAAGGGAGATAAAGGAGAACCTGGGCCAAAAGGCATGCCGGGACCACCTGGAAGGCCTGGAAAATCGATATCTCCACCACAAGTGTTGCTGACGCCAGCAGAGCAGACACGAGATGAGGGAGGAAATACGGCATTTTATTGCACGGTCGCCGGAAATCCTTCCCCAGTCGTGGAATGGCAATTTAAGGGCATAAAGCTTCTGTCCGGTGCAAAGTATTTGATTAAAGAAGGAGAGTTGATCGTTAGAAATCTGAATTACAGCGATGCTGGGCCGTACACATGTGCTGCTAGGAACATTCTTGGATCGTCCGAGGCCACTGGTAACTTGTCTGTTCGAGGTGAGAGAAGCATTTCATTCTTGAGGTTTGTTGTTGAACGGCGCATAAACATGTCAAGAAAACTATACGATGAGAAGGCACACTGACAGAACATCATCCTCACCTGACCTTTATTTTGACACGCTTTCATAATTCGGTTAAGGCTTTAGCAGCCGTCAGACTACGACTTCTTGAAAATACCCGTTAACAGATTTGCCAGCCAATAAGTAATTGGTTTCATCGCTCCATTTCTTTTCTGTTATGCAAACAAACATTTCTTGTACAAAGTTTCCCGGAAAAGAAAGCATCTAATTTTTTCATTTTTCTCAGTTGTAATCCTGCCGTTCCCCGAAGGTTATTTCTTAGAATGTCCTGTGCAGGGAGCCGACTCCTTGCTAAAGGGGTACCATTTTGAGGCTTCAGGTATATGAAAGGGTCCGTGTTTTACTAGTTGAAGTATAATAGTGTTGGAAAATCTGTCATTTCGGTCTGAAAAAAGATCTAAAAGGACTAGCGCAAGGATGTTATACACGAGGAGCCGCAAGAGGTGATATTTTTGCACGGCATCTGGCGGCACATCAAAGAATTTGGAATTGAAGGGCAAATTCCTAGAATATCTTCGCCAGTTAAGCTAGAGAAAAGGTGTTAAAAAACCTCAGGATCCAAAACAACACGTCAATCAAAATATCACTTGGACCTTTTCGCTAATGAAGAGCTATCACGCGGCTAAGCTTGAATTAGACATATATTGAAATAGGAACTCGTGTCAATAAAGTATCTTAAGTGAGTGGGAATCGCTCCTAGTTAAAAAACTAGTTCACAGGGATATGCATCTCTTCTAGTTAAGAGAAGGGAATTAGAACTGCTTTTCAAGCAGGAACAGGTTTTCTTCGGGCTAACTACAAAACTTCAGCTTATTTCACTCCTTGACATTGTCAAAGCGCATTTTGTAAAGATAACTTTTTCCGCTTTATCAGCTTTTTTTATATTCTATTCCATTAATGTTTAACCTCCCTCAAAAAGCCAAATAATATAAATGCTGTTGTTAAAAAAAAAGGTTTTACCTGTTTTCGTGAATTCGCTACCCAAAGATTACTATGCTCAAAGGACAGGGCAAAATTTCCAGGAGAGAGGCATTAATTTTTTTTCCACGAGGTTACAAAGAGAAAATGCAATAATTATTATTAATGTAACCATCAGGTATACTCTACCCACGAGGTTACGGACAGCAAATGCAGTGATTATTTTTAATGTAACCATCAGGTATGTTCTACCCACGAGGTTACAAAGAGAAAATTCAATGATTACTATTAACGTAACCTTCAGGTATGTTCTACCCACGAGGTTACAGAGAGCAAATGCAGTGATTATTATTAAATGTAACCGTCAGGTATATTCTACCCACGAGGTTACAAAGAGAAAATGCAATGATTATTATTAACGTAACCTTCAGGTATGTTCTACCCACGAGGTTACAGAGAGCAAATGCAGTGATTTATATTAAATGTAACCGTCAGGTATATTCTACCCACGAGGTTACGGAGAGCAAATGCAGTGATATTATTAATGTAACCATCAGGTATGTTCTACCCACGAGGTTACAAAGAGAAAGAGCAACGATTATTATTAACGTAACCTTCAGGTATGTTCTACCCACGAGGTTACAGAGAGCAAAAGCAGTGATTATTATTTTAAATGTAACCATCAGGTATGTTCTACCCACGAGGTTACAAAGAGAAAATGCGATGATTATTATTAACGTAACCTTCAGGTATGTTCTACCCACGAGGTTACAGAGAGCAAATGCAGTGATTATTATTAATCATCAGGAATATGCAGTGATTATTATTAATGTAACCATCAGGTATGTTCTACCCACGAGGTTACGGAGAGCATGCAAATGCAGTAACAATTATTAGATTTTAGTGCAACTATCAGGTTGAGTTCCTCCATTAAAAGAGTTTTTTGCTAGGGTTAAACAAGTTTGGCTTTCATGAGTTTCAAGGTGCAAGAAATCAGGGGCACCCAACGAGGATATAGCTCAAAACCACTTAACATAGCATTGTTGAACGTATTTTAGTATTCCAACTGTAGATATGGGCATATGTTTATCCCCTAAAAACTTTTCATCTGTTCGGATTTCCTAGCTGAAAGTCTAGTGATCCGAAAATTATGGGGATAAAAACTTACCTTCTCGAAAATTTCAGCCAAGAAAAGGCTCCCGAAAATTCTAGGTGGCCTTTTTTAGGGTCAAAATCCGTTAAAAATGGGTAATTATACCATTTTGTAGATGTTCGAAAATATTAGGAGAGGCAGGCAAGCAAGAAATTTTACAACAAATGCTCCGAAAATTCTAGATCTCAAATCGTCTTCCGAACAGATATTTTCCCGAAAATTGCCGTTGGGTGCCCCTGAGAAATTATCAGTATAATTATGGCACACAAACATTGTCATCTAATTTTTCGCACGTAGCCGGAATAAGCCAAGAAATGAAGCATATATAACGAAAAATCGTCCTCAGATGATCTCCATATTAAGTAAATGATACTAAACGTTGCGAAAGAAATTAATGTTTGTATCCGACTCCTATCCATCGTAAAAGCGAGGGGTCATCGCATGACATCCGGTATATTAAACAGAGGTAATACTCACGGGTTTCACGAGTTGTATGCACTATTTTTCGCCGAGAAACAAATTTAAACTTCAATTCTTACCTTACAGTAGTCCGTGCTTTTACCTTGCATTCGACAACAAATCTGTTAAAAGGCGAACAAAGCGATTCCGGCACTCTTCTTTATGATGAGTAGCAAGCCGCAGGAACTGAAGCCGCTTGACTGAAGTAAAATCCACCGATATGCGCGGCATTCTCACTACAAATATAAACAAACGTCGCGGAGAAAAAAAGACGAGGAGGAAAAAATGCCAGATCTTCGCCTCGGCAATGTATTCCAGCTACCATGCCTGCGTATCTCCAGAAGGTGGACTCGACGTGGGACAAACCTTGTGATCTTTTTTTAGAAGCCCTTTGCGCGCAAACTAATTTATTCTGGCGCGAAATGAAGAATATGTATACTGAAATCTAATCCACGACAAGAAGATTTTCGCACTGTAGCGCGACATATTAAATGCCTATGTTTACAAGTACGCCGAGAAAGTGGTCCACTAGTTTAACTTTTTTAAGATGAATTTACTCCACAAAAGCAAAATGAAATGTTTTATCTCTATGTTGTTTACGTGCCTGATTAGAAGGCAGAAGTAAATTCATCATACAGACCCCATCAAAATGAAAGTACACGAATGAAACGGAATAAGTCTGGGACGGTTTAGTTTCTACTCAGCAGCTTCTTTGCTTTTATAACAAAAATTTAATGTTGCAGTCTGTTTTAAACGCTGGCATATCAAAGCGCACAGTCACTGAATGAAAACAACAGTCACGATCACGTTCTTCGAAACCGACCAGACGCGCGCGACCTACCACTGTTATGGTAAGCAATTATCCTGAAGGTGTTAATGTTCCCGTGACAGTCTTCGCACTGAAGGTGTAAATGGTAAACCGAACGGTCGCTTTGATCATCAGAAAGACCTGTCAACTTTGATGATTTAACTGATTAAATTACGGGACAGAAATTTTACTGCTTGCGGCTCCTCGTGCTGTGAAAAAGTCGAGAAAATTTTCTGCTTTTGTGATTTATTCACATTTTAAAGTCAGTGCGTTGATCTCCCAATCTCGTATTTGAAAGGGGCAAACTTTTCTGTTGAAAATTACATATAGTGTTGGACCTCTGGGCGGAGCCTCCCAGTATAACACTTTGAAGAGTACCCCCCTCCTTCTCCTCCCCGGTGTCGTCCAGTTAGTTGTAGTATTTCAACCTGATATTAATTATTTTTTCAGGTCTTCCAATATTCACAAAAGTTCCACCTTTACTTGCTGCACCGGTACAAGGCACTACATTCCAAGTAACCTGTAAATCTGAAGGCTATCCTCGTCCCGTTGTAACCTGGACTAGAGCAGCAATGCCTTTCCCTGCTGGAAAAACGAAAATAAACCAAGGCACACTTACCATTAACAACTTGATTCCTGCCGACAACGGTTTGTACGACTGTGTAGCTACTAACATCATTGGAACAAAGAAAGCTAGAGTCAATGTGGCAGTGCAGCGTAGCTCAGCTGCAGGTTTGTCTTAGGCTGTAAGGTCCGCACAGACATAAATTAAACATTTAGTAACATAAACATCAGGCCCCAGTTGTTCAAAAGCTGGATAGCGCTATCCATCGGAGAAATCACTATCCAGTGGATAAGTATTAGGGAAACCAGTTGCACTATCCACTGGAGAGAGATTTATCCGCTGGATAGCGCTATCCACCTTTTGCCCCAACTGGCGCCTGGTGACCTTTGTTAAAGGTCACAGAGATCGCAAGACCAAGGGTTCCTGAATCCTGTTTAAGACTACTTTAATAGGCTTAGCTGACTCAGACTACAGTGTATACTTAAGTGGAATGTAAAACATATAGGACCGCCGTTGGTGATGGCCTTTTATTCATTGTTAAAACGCAGTGTCGTTGTTAAAGGCTGAATATGCTCGTGTAGCAATTGTTTAAAGGGAAAGAAGGAGGGAAGCCTATACTCGAGTTTAACGGAAGACGATTTGAGATCTAGAATTTTCGGAACATTTGTTGTAAAATTTCTTGCTTGCCTGCTTCTGCTAGGATTTTCGAACATCTAAAAAATGGTATAATTGCCAATTTTTAACGGATTTTTACCCTAAAAAGGTCACCTAGAATTTTCGGGAGCCTTTTTTCTGGCTGGGATTTTTGAAAAGTAAGTTTTGATCCCTATAATTTTCGGGTCACTTGACTTTCAGCTAGGAAATCCGAACAGATGAAAAACTTTTAGGGGATAAAAATATGCCTATATCTACCGTTTCGATACTAAAATACGTTTAACAATGCTATGTTTATAATAAGTGGTTTTGAACTATATTCTCGTTGGGTGCCCCTGCAGAGTTCTTTTGTCCAATAGGAAAAGTCGAATTTTTTTCCCCAGGTTTGCACGACTCTGTTATTGTGGGAAACAACAAAAATCACTTAACCTCGTTAAGCAACTGGCTTGCACCCGTCACAAAAAGCGTCAATTCTCTCTGGAAACGCTGTTGGCGTGCATCCGTGGACGGCTGGGCTGCGAGTACATTTCACTCACGATGTGACAGCAAGGGCCCGACTGTGACAATAATAAGGGTCGGGAGATATATTTTGGGAGGATACGCAAGTATTTCATGGGGTAAGTGAGCATTGTAAGCCATGGCAGTGGCATCTATACCTTTGACGTAATCAGTTAGCACTGATATGTTCAGCTAAAAGAGCAGCTTGGTACTTAGCAATATGGAATCATGTGACTCTACCTTTCATACATGGTTAAGTAGTGGCGGACAAAGGTTCTAGGTTAATAGCTCTAGATGCGGGCCATTTCCCCTCGTTCCTCAAGGGGCGAGGACCACCCCTCCTACTCTCACATGGAGTGAATGAGTGCCACACCCCCCTCTTCTCAAGTTCTGATTCTGCAGATGATAAGTGATGCATTTCTAGCCTGTCAAGACGGGTCCAAATTCCAGGCTAACACTATTACAATAATAATTTTTAGGTTATAAAGTATCGATATTGTTCTGACTTTCTTGCCTCCCTGCTATCTTCCATCCTTCAATTACCATATTGCAAAAGAAGCGACTAACGTACTAGATCGCAAGTTTTTGGTGAAATTCGCAAATTTTGGCAAAGAAAAAACACGCTCTCTTGACATGTCCACGTACGTGATACACCAAGACGAAGGTTCATTTCACCGATCAAACTTTCGTAATTTTGCCTAAGTGAAATGTTGCGAAGAGGATTCTTCTCTTCGGATTCGAACGTACTTAATAGACTGAAATGGGTGACAGAAATACATAATGTTTTATACCTTTTCAAGGATAAAGGCTCCTAAAACTCTTTATTGTCTGTTTCCTTTTATTGTCTTCTTAATACAGTACCCTTAAAATCAAACGAAGTATTAATTTACCAATAAAAGTGTATTGCGACATGCACCAGTTCATGTAAAAAAGAAACTTCTAGCTTCGGTAAGTGGTAAAAAAGACAAAAACAGATAAATTTGGAGATTTGCTCCATAAAGTTATAAAAGAACATAAATTATTAATTACTAATTTTTTCCCATATCTATTGCTTGTAATTGCAAATCTTTTAAAAATAACATCTCCCACAGGCCGGCACCTTAGCCTCGGTGAGCTTGCAGCCACATAAAACTTTCTCCTGAGCGGACGAACCACGCTTGCCTTTAGTACAGCTGTATCTTTTACCAAAATACCTGGACGTAAATAACAATGCAATAAAATAATATTCATACTAATGATAATGATGATGATAATAATATTAATAATAATAATAATAATATAATAATAATAATAATGATAATAATAATATTTATAATGATAATGATAATGATAATAATAAAGAAGACATAGAAACTGATTTCGTTTTTGATAAATGACGAACGTTACTGAGAAACTCTATCGAATTTGTTTTATGAGAATAAGGTATTTACTGTTTTTAATTAATAATAATAATAATCATCGTCATCATTATGACAGGCACAAGGACAATGTCGCTAACTTATCTTAGAAAAGTTTTGTTTCATTTCTTTTAGCTTCTGGTTCTGGCCGGTATCAATACGACTCAAAAGCCTTCTTATTTTCGCTGGTAAACAAGCCAGGATGGGCGCCTGTCAAATTGTCTCAGTCAGGGCAATATAGTTATGGCAAAGAATCCATATACTTTCACTCATCCTATGGACCTACATTCGGAGACGGACATGACATTTACATAGAAAACTACGCGTCATCTAATAGCAATTCTTACAGCAACCTTGGCTATACTTACAGCCCACCGAGCGGGTACAGCTACCTCAGCACCTTCGCACGAACATTCCTGGCAGGAACTTACAAGTTCACACCAGACGAAGTTGAAACCTTTTACGAAGCAACCTAATTAATATAATGCGTGACACCGGCTTTGATATTTGAGCTGAGCTTATTGTACAAGTAGACACTTAAAGGTGAACGAATCTACAGCACTAAGCAAGCCCCTTATATCTAAATCAGAACAGAATTATTGCAACGTATACTACAACATTTTCCAAACAAACGAAAAATAGAATAGTCCAAAAAAGAAATGATTTTGATATCTACAACTGGTCCAACTGCGCTGATCTTTTTCACCTGGATACGAGTCTGGGGGCAGCTATACTGTCATCTGTCAGAAAACAGTTACTTCCTTATCATGAGGGCAAAGAAATCACAGCTTCCGATCGAGTAAACAAAGTTGAAAAAAAAAGCAGTACAGTGATATTTTACTGAACCAGGCTGTCATCACTGCTTTGTTGCCAAATGCGATACCACCAATATTAGTAATCAAAGATTAAGATTACTAATTGCTTAATGCGGCAACACTATCTCATGTACAGGAATAGACTGCTTGCAGTCACGTGACGATCACCTTCTAGCACTGTAGTAATTAAAATTACCAGCGTTGGGTTACTACGTCATGTAAGCCCTACGTATAAAATCAGAGGCACATCAGTATCCTTTATGACTGACCTATCATATAAAATATTAGTATGTGTAATCAAATGGTGACGAGTGAAATTAGGGAATAATTTCACGCGGGTTTTGTCCAAATCCTTATAATTTAAATTATTATAGGATTTGGACAAAACGCAAGTGAAATTATTCCCTAATTTCAAGAGTATACCATTTGATTACCTATTAATATCATGACGAATTACGTTAGCAATCGAGGATTTTTTAGAGCTGAAATTTCGCTTAAGTTTTCAGAATTGTTCGACAACATACCTCTAAGAATCCTTCTTGATGTGCTTTTTCGTGTGTTCAGGTTTTCTAAAGCGTCTTTTTATGCCCTGACATCTTTATTCAAGACATTTTAAAACTTCGTCGCCATCTTGACACTGAGACGTATGGCAGGTTGCCATGGCAATTTAGTAATTTCACATGTGAAATTACAAATTATGATTCGTCACCTATGATATCATAAATAAAATATACCCTTACAGGAAATTTCTACTGATAATAAATAGATAAAAGATCACGTTTACGGGCTAGTATTAATTGTTAATGTACAGACAAGAATTAGAATTCAATAAAATTACTCATTTTTGTCATGAAAAGAGAGCTCCATTCTCTCAACGTTATCAATAACGAGGGTTAATGGTCACGTGGTCAACGTTGTTTCCTTTTCTGTAAACGTGATGTTTGATCTCAGCAATAATTTAAAATATGGTATCTGTTGGAACTTTGACCACGTTTGATTGCAACAGGAGCAAGGTTAACAACCAGCAGAGCAGCTCGGCTCACGTCAATCTAATGTAAGCTAATTTGCTACACTTGTTTTTATGGGCTTGAGTAGAAGGGATCAGGTTTAACTTGCAACTTTCCCTCAAGCTTGGAGTGACTGTGACAGAAAACAAGAATTGAATTAAATAAATTACTCATGCTCGAATGTTTGTTACAAAAAGAGAAACTTTATTCTCTCCACGTTATCAAGAATGAAGAATAAAGCCAATGGTCACGTGGTCAACCTCTTACCTTTCCTGTAAACGTGATGTTTGATTTCTGCAATTATTTTAGAATAAGGAAACTGTTGCAACTTTGACCACGTTTGAGTGCAACAAGAAAAAAATTATAGCTTACGTCAGTCTAATGTAAGCCAACACTCTTGTTTTTCTGGGCTAAATCAGAAGCGGATCAGGTTTATATATAAAAACTTGCAACTTTCCCGCAAACTTCCGTCTTCGAGTGGCTGTGAAAGAAAACGATCGTAAAAGTACAAAAATGAAAACCGTAAACTCTTCAAAATCTCAACGAATCCTTGAGTTTGTTCCGTCAATTAGACCATCGTTCCTTTCGGTGGTATTAGTTTTAGTTTGCGGATGTCTCTGGGTGAAAAATGAAGCAATAAACGAACGACTGATTTCACTGGAATCTCGTACTTACTGTGTTCCTTGCACTAAGCGTGGCACGATTGATAATCTTGACAAGATGACTTTCTCACCGACAAAAGATATCGCAATGAACCTTTCCAAGAAGATGCAGACACAAGTTTCAGATGATGGGAACGGCTATATCTCAGGTAAAATTTATTCTTACTCTTCTTACTTTTTGGATGGCCTTGTGTACATTGAGGATGTTTAGACCTGCTTTTATCCTGCCTCGGTTAAGACATAACCTTTCATGACGTGAGTTCGCGTTAACAACACGGGATGTTTTGCAATTCCAAAATAGTCTCAGATTTTAACTTAGACTGCTGTATGAAACTGTTTTGTAATGCTCCCTAGATCTGTCAGTAATTAAGCCACTGCCACTGATAAAAAACTGAAGAGATCTACAGCGCAAATGAAGTTGAATTTATAAATAATGTGTTTACAAGGGCAGAACACAAGATTCCTTCACGCGCCAGATAGTCGATGTCATTACTATACAGCTTTTCAACAAGATTGTCTTTTAAGGATTTTTAGCTAGACGACATTAGTTGAGGTTCCTTAAACATTTCTTTAAGTGGGGGCTGCATGTGCTTCTGGTTTGAGGTTATTTGGGGTCTCGGGATTGAAAAGTATTGCGTGACCAATTTTAAGCAATAATGACCCAATTCTTGGCAATTCTTTTTTAGATCAGTATCTGTTTGCTTTAGATTGAGCTATTTCTGTTTCGCACTTTCTGGATAAATTTTCGAATAATATTAGACATTATAGATCAGTATAGACAAAAGGCGCGTATTAAGAGATTATTCATGGAGATATTTCCGTTTCTTTTAAACGAGTTCAGTCTAATTTGAAAAACCTTTCTTAACCCTTATAGGATTACAAGAGCGATTGAAAGTATGTGTGTTCAAGATCTCAGTTGGCTTGAAATTCGTGCGCAGGTCTTCAGATTCGATTCTTGTTCTTTTGTAAGTTACCTTTATCAGAAATGTCAGCCGTATCATTCTTTCGTTCCTTCTCGATATTGCTCATTTTTACAATTTATCAATGGGTAATTAACAGGTATTATCTAATTTTACTTTACTGCAGTCAGCCCGTTGCCAATAAAGACATCAGCAACCATCCGGGTAAGAAATCGAAGAAACAGTTTGAACGACACTTCAACTGGCATCACCATACAAGAAGTGAGAAAAGAAATTAGCAAACAGTTTGATCAACTTATGCCCACTAAGTACTGTAAGTCAAGTGAGAAGGTATGTCCAGCAGGTCCCCCCGGATATCCTGGTCCCATTGGAGCGAGGGGACCACGTGGCAGGAGGGGATCAAAGAGGTCCTCAAGGTCCCATGGGGCCTCCTGGAAAATCTGGAAAAACAGGAATAACGGGTCCTGCAGGACCGAGAGGAGAAAAGGGAGACAAAGGAGACTCTGGGCCAAAAGGCATTCCCGGGCCACCTGGAAGGCCTGGAAAATCGATATCTGCCCCACAAGTGATGTTGTCGCCGAATAAACAGACTCGAGATGAAGGTGGAAATACGGCGTTTTATTGCACGGTGGTAGGAAATCCTTCCCCAGTCGTGGAATGGCAATTTATGGGCATAAAACTTCTGTCAGGTGCAAAGTATTTGATTAAAGAAGGAGAGTTGATCGTTAGAAATCTGAATTACAGCGATGCTGGGCCGTACACATGTGCAGCCAGAAACATTCTTGGATCGTCTGAGGCCACAAGTAACTTATCTGTTCGAGGTGAGAGGAGTATTTTACTTTTGAGGTCTCTTAAATAAGGCCGTTTAATTTTGTTTGATATGTCAGTATATGTTTCATGTCCTCCCAAGGTAATAAGGTTGCAAGATTTGAACATCACTTTTTTAAACATCCTAGAAAACCTGTAAGACGTTAAGGCATAGAGCACCATCTTCAATGAATCAATCAAACAATAACTTTTATTATTAATGTGTCATAGCTTTTAGTGCAACACAAGTGGTGAACTAATCGGGGACACTCCCCCTGACATATTACCTTAGAGTGAGTTAATTGAGCTAGCCTGATGCCTCACTGATGAAACACCTTGTAAAATGCCTGGGACGATTTGTGACCTTTTCACACGCTTTTAATACGGTTTTTTGCATCTGAGTAGCCGTATCTTCAAATTTCAAAAAAAGACACTGAAAGAGTTACTAACCAATCATTTGAATTGGTTTCTCCTTTCCTTTTCCTTTCTGCTATACAGATAAAAATATTGTACAAAGTTTCTCGAAAAAGAAAAGATCCATGGGTCGTCATCTTTGTCAGTTGCAATCGTTTGGACCATTAGGGCTTTATAGTATAAACCAGATAATTTTTCTTTTCAGGTCTTCCAATCTTCACAAAAGTTCCACCTGCACTTGCCACACCAGCACAAGGCACTACGTTTCAAGTAACCTGTCAAGCAGAAGGCTATCCTCGTCCTGTAGTAACCTGGATTCGAGCGGTGCTACCTTTTCCTGCCGGCAGGACTGAGGTAAACAGGGGTACATTAACCATTAAGAACCTAAACCCGGCTGACAACGGTTTGTACGAATGTATGGCAACAAACAGCATTGGAACGAAGAAGGCCAGGATCAATCTGGCAGTACAACGTAGCTCAGCTGCAGGTTTGTCTTATGCGGCAAGGCAGGGGCGGATCTAGGATTTTTCTAAGGTGGGGTTGCACCTCTGGAATTGCTTAACTGACTGGTGACGTAAACCAGGAGCCTATTACATTAGGCTTTTTCAGTGCCAAACTACCCTTTTTACGGCGTTTAACATAAATGCTTCAACCTCGCTTCATGTTTTACTTCAACACCAATAAACCACATAGTTTTATTTGCAGTATACCAGTTGTATTAGAAAGCCGCAGGTCATTTTAGGGGGGTGCAGTGCGCACCCCTGCACCCAACCCCTAGATCCGCCCATGCAAGGTCTGCACAGACATAAATTGAACATTTAGTTACATGTAACATAATCCTTAATGGAGAC